AGTCTCAAGTCTTCTTTAATTATGTCGAGTCGAGTCGCAAGTCATCAAATTTGGGACTCGAGTCCGAGTCGAGTCTCGAGTCAAGTGACTCGAGTCCACACCCCTGGGTTGAGGTAATGTCACCTTTGGTAAAAATAGACACCTTTAGTACAAACGAGACCATAAGACAAGACCCACATCCATAAGACTGAGCTTTGAGAGCCAGTTTAAGCCACATTTATGTGGTTTTGAGAGCTCTCAAGTGCACATGATCAAGAATTCAACTCTGTTAAGAACCAGCAAACATTATCTTTGCGTGGGTGGATAAAATGTTTGCAACAAATCCTATTTGGAGGATATTCTTAATATGGCCAGATTTTAGATAAAATAAAGACAAATTTTTACTAACGTGTTTTTGTAGCACTGTTGTTCATCAAGGTCATATTTGGGCAAGCAAAAGCTACACTTAAGAATTTAGGAGGAGGACGAGGTGCAGCAGTCAGATATTGTGCAGAAAAACAAGACAACATAAAATCACCTATATTATGAAAATTATACATTTGGTGGTGGCATAGTCAAATATATTTTAATCTCTCCGTACAAAAACTTCTCAATGTCCTGCTTATGTAGCCTCTGGTTTGGATGTGATCTCCCACTGTTGATGGTTAAACGTACTTGAGTTTGCCTGGTAACTGCACAAATTGTTATCAGCTGTATGCTGTCACCACCCCATCAGAAAGCTCAGAAAGTGAAGTCTTTCTTGAATGGATCCGTTAAAGATCAGCTACAGCAGTCACAAGTGTCTCATTTAAGGACCCCATGCATTCAGCCTTGTGGTTTTTAGTCCACGTCTATTAGTTTTGAGATCATGTGTATCTGCTAAAACCTGTCCGATAAAACACTTGCTCTTTCCTAATTCCACCAACCACTCATTAGCCATAGCAAACTGTGGTTTAGTGGTGTGTCTGATGCTTGCCTACTTCCTTCTTGGAAGACCAGAACACCTCTTGAAGTCAGAATTCTCACTTGCATACTTTTGCGGAAATCCCACAACTTCTCAGCAACCAAGTATGTGGCTAATGATAAACACAAGTCAAAATTCCTCTATTACGTGTCCGATGCCTAAATATACAGTAGATATCCTATTATATAGTAGATGAAAAACAGTATGTCAAATGAGAAGTATGTATGTATTCGTAGTGTTCATGAAACAGTAGACGAAGTGTACCGGGATGACCTGCTACTGATGATTCTGAAGTGCACATCTGATGGACACTTCTCTATCCCATGAGGTCAAGGGAGAGGACTTGTGAATGGCAGTGAAAGGTCACATGACAAAGCCAACATGGCGTCCTCTGCAATCTGCTACTTTGTTGACCGTTCTTTTTTATGTCGTCCTCCTTCCTCACGATACAATGTCCCAATTCTGACTTCAAACGGAACGCAGATTTTAAACTAAAACTATTAGTTATTTAACTAAATGAAATGCTCCAACACAGGGATGTTGTGCTTCTCAAGTCATATATTGGGGTCTTTAAGATCTTTCTTATTTGGAGCTTTCAAAGACTTCCAAAATGGTCACACTTGTTGACAAGAAAGACATCTCCCAACCACACAATTGTCACAAATTGTTGCTGAAGATTTCCAGCTTGACACCTTTATCTCACTATCTACTCTCTCTCATCTGTTACTTCAGCGTACAATGACTCTCTGCAGGAGGCGAACAAGCCCTGTCCCGATGGTATGTACTTTGAGCAAGACGATGTTGAGGAGAAGAAGGCTTGCCAGTTCAAGAGAAGTGAGCTACGACAGTGCTCTGGACTGGCTGATAGCAATTTTGGTTATTCCGAGGGTCAGCCATGCATCCTAGTCAAGATGAATCGAGTGAGTCACTGTTTTTACGCTCTTCCCAGTCAAAGTTAGCTGTTAGCTTATGTTCTTCAGACAAATTGAGCCACAGTGCTTATGCAAGGACGCAAAACTTCCAATCCGGCATGCATTGTGCTCCAGTTGCATCTTAGAAATTTAACTTGTTTTTAAATTTAGAAGGATGTTTGTTCATTGCATATACTCCTTTGCAGGTGATTGGGCTTAGGCCACGAGGAGACCCACATATCAACTGCATAGTCAAGGTAATTCCCAAATCACACTTTGTGTTACTAGCTTCAGAGTGTTCGATGTCAGGATGAGTGTGACATGATGGAGCGAGTCTGAATTAATTGTGCGTGAGTCTTTCCATCTTGCGTTTTCACACATCTGTTTGTATCTGGTCTCTCTCCACGCTGCCTATAGGGCCAGCAGTTTTAATGGTGGGTAAGATGTTGGGCCCCAGCCCCCCCATTGTTTCTTCAGGGTCCTAGCCTCGGGCCTTTTCCATCTCTTTGCTGCTTCTCTCCTGTACTGCTTTGTCTCTGGTGCTTTTAACTGCCCTCATTCTAGAAATGATGTATACCTTCAGATCCCCGGTCACTGAGAACGTAATGCGTAGTGTCTAGGTAAAATAAATGTAGCGGTGGGTCCTTCCACAACATGGGCACCCCGAAGGCCCCGTTTACTCCTGATATTACCATCTTTTTTCAATTGATTCAATCGAAATATTTCTGTTTACATCTGGCATTCACATGCAAATTGTGGAATGCTCTAAACTATGGATGTGCATCACTGCGTGTTCATTATTAAGCATAGTGAAGAAGCTTCCAGTCTTGGCAAATGTTTTCTTTTAACGCTGACCTAGTGGTCAGATTTATAAAAACCTTTGATGTGATGTAATGGTGGCATGTTGGGTAGTCTTGCATAGCCATACTTCAGACAAGGAGTGTCCAGTCCTGCTACTGGAGGGCCACTTTCCTGCAGGGATTTAGCTCCAGCACACCTGCGTGGATGTTTCTAATGATCCTAAAGACCTTGGTTAGCAGGTTCAGGTGGGTTTATTAGGGCTAGAACTCAACTTGCTGGAAGATGGCCCTCCGTACTCTTAAGAATAATGGTTCCAAGAGGCGGTTTTTGCAGCGATGCCATAGAAGAACCATTTTTGGGTTCCTCATTGAACCTTTCAGTGAACCATTTATTCTTAGTGTGAAGAACATTTTAATGATCTAAAGAACAGATGGAATAGGGGCTTTTGCACCGGAGGAACATTTTCATAGTTCCTACATCTAATGGAGGAAGTTCCCACTTTTTGGCATTTTTGCACCATAGGAACTGGGAACGTCTTTTGGAGGGACTAAATAAGCTCCTACTAAATAAGCTCTCTAACCCAGCGATATAGGAGCTACCATTAATGTAGCTGAACACATGCCATACGAAACACCAACATCCATGTAAAAAGCTGTGTAAACCTACACAGTTCACTCCACAATGGAAAACCGTGATAGATTGACATAAAGTTCATGTCATTTACCTGTCGCCTTTGTCTGCGGCATTGTTTTCTTCTCAGCCATACTATGAATTTGTGCTCTGCGTTTCACCCATCCCAATGCACACACACAGCAGCTGACCCTTGAAGGTATACAGCGGACACAAAGAAGTGCCCTCTGCTCCTTAGGATCTCTGTGTCCTCTGAACTTTAATGCTTTTGCTCTTAAATTATGCTGATGGTTCCTGCTCTTTCAATCTTGCCGTTTCTTACTGAATGAACTTCCACTTATAGAGACCTTGCAATGTTTCAATGGGACTTTCACACATGAAACGATTACATTTCCGTATTAACTTTTCCAGTGATATTACCACATCTGTTGTTCACATAAGCAACAATGTCTGGTGTTTTATACATTTTGATAACACTCCTACAGCATCATCAAAACATCATTAAAGCATGTTGTTTGCAAAAAAAAAGTTTTGCCAGATATCGTTAAACGTACAGTGAATGTACAATAGGCCTCGTTCAAGATGGAAACAAACTATTCAAACATGAATCCTTGTCATTTCTGTGACAATTGTTCGTTAAACCATTTTTGTTTAAAATATTCATAAAATCATTCTTGCTCAGTAATGCATTGAACATGAGCAAATCTGTGGAATTGTGTAATTTGTGCGCAAATTTCTTGTTTGTAAAACCATGCTTGTGTACATTTTTGAAATTGAATTGGAAAAGGGTAATTTGTGTAAATTGTTCTTAAAACCATTCTTGTGTAAAATTCTCACATTAAATTGAATACAAGATTTGAATTTGGCTGTAAAACACCAAGTTAAATTGAGTGCAGCAGTTTACGTAAGAATGGATTAATTAACATTTTACACAAATTAGTCGTGCTTGTGTTTCATGAATGAGGTCCAAAGTCTGCACAATGTGTGTGTATGTCAACTAAATCCAGATGATTAATTACCTCACACACGAGTAAATGACAACTTGTAATGGTGTCAGCTCTTTCAGAACGTTAGTAATTTTACTTATACAAAACCTGAATTATTATAATAGTCGCACCGGTAGTGACGTCATGGCTGTCGCCGGCCAACGAGTTGGTGTTTTTCTATGTATGCTTCAGACACGGGTCACGACGAGGCGTTCCCCATAGCGACCCCTAGAGGACGCAGTGTCTCGTTCCCTACTCAGGGAACCATGGTTACATAAGTAAGCTGAGACGTATTCTTGGAGCATCTTAACTTTATACATGTTAAAAATGTAAGTTCTTAGATTATATTAAATTTTTTTAAAAACTTGTAATCGGACTAGTTACTTTTTTTATTGATTACATATTATTCACACAATAGCAATAAATTATTCATAATTTGATTACCCCCAATTATTCTTTTTCCATCTTTAAATTTTCCCATGCTTTTGTCTTTTAAAGGGGTCCTATTATGCTTTTTCACTTTTTCAACTTTAGTTAGTCTGTAATGTTGCTGTTTGAGCTTAAGAAAAGATCAGCAAAGTTACAAAGTTCAAAGTCCAATTCAAAAGGAAATATTTTATTTAACAGAAAACTCTTTTCAAAAACGCTAACCAATCGCAACACACACTGGCCCAGCTGACCAATCGCAACACACACTGGCCCAGCTAACCAATCGCAACATACACTGGCCCAGCTAACCAATGGCAACACACACTGGCCCAGCTAATTCATGCCAGACTGGGGAGAGAGGTGTTGTAATAATGTAAAATATGTGAAAAATAATGTGTTTTTCGAACAACCTAGTAAGAGCCTGTTCTAGTACACCCCCAAAACAAAATCAAGACTTTGTAAAAGAGCATAATAGGACCCCTTTAAACACACATTAAAATTCACAAATTCAAATTTATTTCTTATTTAGCCTACATGTAATGCAGGAACTTTTTGTGTCAGCCGAACCTCTTTCACCTAATAGATTTACTTGAAGAACCCCCTGAGATTGTAAATCACACGTTTGCATGTTCACGGTTCTCTGATGTTTGTTAATGGTCACATGACATGGAGGTAAACAAATAAAATATTTCATAATTTTAAATGTGTTTTATTTTCATTGTTGTTATTTTAAACTTATTTATTTTCATTTCACATTTTTATGATTTAATTGGTTGCTTTTCATTAAACTCATGAACCCCCTGCAGTTTCTTCACAAACCCCAGTTTAAGAAACTTTGATGTTTATTGCACTTCATGTTGTTAATAACAACAAATAGAACGTTTTCTTTCTCTTTGCGTTTTTATTTCAATATGGTACAAGATTATCCTTTTTTAAATCAATGTGATAAACAAGTTTTGTCAAAAGTAATCTAAAAGTACTCTAACTATATTACCTAAAATGTGTAATGTAATAGATTACGTTAGCAGCTACAGTTTTTGACATGTAATCTGGAATCCGTAACAGACTACAATTTGCATGTAATCTACCCAGCACCAGCATCAAAAATGGAAAACTGCTGGATGCATGCTGTAAATTTACAGCAAAGGCTGTTCGTGTGAAAGCAACTAATGAAACACTGCACTTTTTTTTTTTTTTTTGAGCTTCTGTGCTGATTCTTAATAATTACATTCTTTGAATTTGATTATTAAATCATGAATCATGGTCTCAGACGACTGATGCTTTAAAATGACTGTTTAAAACAGCATCTTTTACTGTTTTTATTATCTTCTTTTTCATTGGACTACACTGTCTGCAAGCATGCATCACTTTGACCTATTCCTAGATACTCAACCATTTCAGAAGCTTACGGCTTACAGCAGATCATCTCATTCGGTTCACTTAATGAAAGATGAACCAGTTATTGAATGCACATTAGGAGTCTTGTAACTGTTCCTGAACTGTGGAAACAGCTTGTTGCTTCCTGCTACTGCTGGATATACGGTATGACTGTGATGGATTCATGCGTTCATATACAGTACATTCATATACAGTAAATCCTGCCAGAAATTTCATTTATAAGAACCTGTTTTCCCTCCTTTCAGTGTGGATTTGTGTATAACCTGCTTTATTCAGATATGTGCGGTCTGTGCATTTGAATGGGGTGCTTATTTTTCTTTGTGTCATCAGTTTGAATGATGTGAGGACAGTCTGTTGCTACTGGCAACTGCACACGAGTCACATGACACGTGTTGTCCGTAAAGTGCAGCAGTGTGACCTCATCCTTTGTCGTGTTTCTCTCCTGATACAGAGAGAAACTCCCCTGCAGATGCAGTATTTCCCCATTGAGGGCAAACTCGACAAGAGTTACTTCCCCTATTATGGCAAGACATTGCATGTGAGTACAATACAGCTAAATCACTGTTTAATTGTAGGGATGCACAATATACCATTGTCAATAAATCGTATAAAATTGTGTGGTGTGTATTAGTTTTAGAATATAGATATATGTATATTTTTATGTATAGAAAATATACAAAGTTCATGTAATTTATATTTTATTTTAATATACTTTGCGTAATTTTACTAATAAATCTATATAATATACAATTATTATATATTAATAAAATGCATAGAAAATATGGGCTATAAAATCATTTAAAGTTACTTTAATGATTTGCATTGGTCTGGTTTGTGTCGTTAATGGTAGAAGATAAAATCAGGGCTTGTTTTTAAGTATTAAGCACAAGTATTTTTGCTGTTTCTGCCGTCTTTGTCTCTTCCCTCCATTAGGCAAACTACGTCCAGCCGGTTGTAGCCGTGAAGCTGCTGCTGGCCGAGGACGACTATAACTCTGAGCTGACCATCGAGTGCAAGGTGGAGGGTTCGGACCTGCTCAACAGCGACGACCGCGACAAGTTCCTGGGCCGCGTCATTTTCCGTGTCAAAGTGTCCAAGTAGCCTAGATCATTCCCCGGAGACGCACGATGTCAGCTCCTCTCACGCAAACCCTTCTCATGTTCATCACGTCCATATCACACACCTCGTCCCCTGTGTGACGTCCTACCAGTTCAGTCAGGGCCTTTACATGTCAAGCGCAGTACAAATGCTCTTTTAGGTTGAAGTTCAAAACTCGTCCTGGATTAAAGTGTAGTTGGATGCACACAGACCTTCACTGGCCCTGCATTACGGACAGGTTGATTCACCCATTTATCATAAAACAAGCCAATGGAAATAAAATGTCAAGGTAAAAACAAGACGCATACTTTCTCCTCCGATGCCTCCTCATACGAGAGAAGCTCTTGTCATCGTGTAGTCAGTATAGGGACCTGTAAATAGATGCATCAACACATCATGTGGATGTGGTCTGCTCCCCTCATAGTACTGTTTAGCCTGCCATGTGTGTGCGTGTGATGTGAAGCCTCTGTGTACATATTTAATGGATTTTAAACACTCTTTTTCTCTGTCATTGCTCTCACGTCGTCTGACTGCTGTAAGAAATCAAGAGTATGAAATTATATAATAGCTGTAATTTAAGATTATTGAGAAATGAAAAAATAAATATATCAATAAATAAAGAGGAGGGGGGGAGGGGGAAACAGCAAAAAACATCTAAATCAAACCTGGTTTGAAACCCGTCCACCATCTGAGGGAAAGGATTTTTTTAAACCTCTGCAGAAACTGTGCTTTGTGCAGATGCCTTACGATCTGTAGGAGTTCAAAAATCTTGAAATAAAAGTGATTTTAAACAAAGATTTGTTTGGAGTGTGTGGAGTGCTTTCTTCATAGATCATCTGAATAGACATGTGAAAGTTATTAAACTTCATAACACCACTTAATTTAAAATAATCCTTGTTTAAAATGCATAGAATTACATTGTGAATATCAGTCATTTTGTGAAATGTTTATTGCAATGAGGGAAAAAAAAACTTTCCAATTTGAATATATTGTAAAATGTAATTTATTCCAGTGATGAAGCTGAATTTTAAGCATCATTACTCCAGTCTTCAGTGTCACATGATCCTTCAGAAATCATTCTAATATGCTGATTTGCTGCTCAAGAAACATATGATTATCATCAATGTTGGAAAGATTTCTCCACTTAATACTTTTGTGGAAACTATGATTAATGATTATGATTAACTGTGAAAAATTTCCAGATTCTTTGATTAATAGCGCAGCAACTATTTGAAAAGATAAATAAATTATATATATATATATATATGCACGCACACACCGTCACGAATCCTGTCTATGGACTTACGTTCGATCGCCACCAGAGGTCACCCTTCCGTTACATTGACTCTCCTGCAACCAATCAACACACTTTATAAGCCATGGACTTCCTCTTCCTCACTGCCGAGTATTGTTTGCGCTTATCGCCACGTCAGTGATAGCAACGTTGCCATTTCCTTTCCGAGTTTTGTCTAGTTCCTAGCTCTAGTCTAGTCACGTCTAGTTTTGTGCCCGTTTCCTGATCTCCTGCGTGTCTTGGATTCTTCTTTTGCCTAGCTCTCTGGACATTGTTTGCCTATCTCAGACCCACGTTAGCCTTTGGATTACTCTTCGTCTTGCCTCTTCTATTACTGTTTGCTGTGTATCGACCCATGCCTGTTTCATGACCACGCCTTTAAATAAAAGCATGCAGATGGATCCGCACGTCTCACGTCTCTGTCGCCCCGTAACACACACTGTGGAGATCAAAATTAGAGAACTATCTCTAAATACTTGATTTTTTTTGGAAATATTGTTAGTCTTCATCGGCTCAAAATTTGAAGGAATATTAGCTGTAGGTATACCTTTGTTACACTAAAATGTAAAAAAAACAAAGCATTTCAACAAAAACCTTTTATTTTGTGGAGAACAGTGATCAAAATTAGAGAACGGTAATCACTGTAGCGCGAAAGATTACAACTAAAATTTTGGAGACTTACAGCTGTCAGAAATGAGTAGGAAGTGTAGATGACTTCAGCTCATCTGCGGCCGCAGGACATCACTAGTCTCTCGCACTGCGCTGCTGTGATCTTGCTCCACTCTTCTTCCAGTCTCTTCTTCGGTAACTGTAGTGGGTTTCTTAGCCATAACTTTGTAGCCAAGGATTTTCCAGAGAATTTGAATCAGGTTTAGATGAGGACTCTGGGCCGGCCATTTCATTATTTCAGTGTTCTTGGCTTCAAGACACTGCCTTACCTGTTTTGTAGTGTTACAGGAACATTGTCTTGCATGAAAATTGTAGGCTGATTGGGAGATGCTTGCAGGGAAGGAATCGCATGTTGCTGAAGGAGGTTCTGATAAACATTTGCATTCACCTGCCATGTGGTGCAGAAAACATCCCCCAAAGCATGATACTTCTTCCTCCACCTTTCACTGACTTCTTTACGCCCTTGGGCTTCAGTCTTTCCTCAGTTTGACGCCGAAGATAATGTTTCACATCTGACCCAATTAAACTAACATGCTCCTCAGCAAAGGTGAGCTTAGCCTTTTGATTCTTTCTGCTGATGAGAGGCTTGGTCACTGCAGAGTGCGCTTTCAGTCCGACTTCTCTTAAACGTGAGACAGATCCTTACCCTGTTCAGTGCTGAACTGGCAAGCAATTCCAGCTGCAGTGCTGAACCGATTCCCCTTTGAGAGTCTCCACATTATCCTGTCTTCTCCTGCTTTTGTCTTATGTGGATGACCAGCCTTTTTGGGGGGACTTGAATGAATTATTGTCATTGTAAACCTGCAATATTCTAGAAATCATAGATTTGGAATGACAAACTTCTCCTGCAGAGGCTGAAAGGGTCATCACTTTGGCCTTCATCTAGACAACCTCCTGTTGCAGGGTTTCAGTCACCTTAGAGCGGCCCACCATCTTGCAATCTCAGTGAAAATTGGAGGAATGCTGCCAGTTAAATAGGGTTTGTCGTATAATTAAGGAAATTAGCAGACCCCCAAATGTGTGCGGTGGGTTTAGTGGGGGGTAATTGAGAATGAATGGGGGAAAGTCACGTGTGAGAGGAGGCAATGCCTCCATCGAGATATGATTGGATATGACTGGTTATGTTTGGCTGTGATTGGTTTATGGATAAATCCATAAATCCTGCCTCTCGTGTTCATGCGTGTTCTGCATTCACGAATCAGTCTGAATGAACAATATAATGACTTAATGAGAAGACTAATTAAAAAAAGTAAGTAAATATATATATATATATATATCTGACCCCATACTTTTAAACAGTACTGTATAACTACATGATTCATTAACAATTTATTAATTTGAAATGTACATTACAACTTAAGATGGCAACATTTTATGGCAAAAAGTAATAATGTTACCAAGATGTTAGATTTGCCTTGTCAGTGTAGAACACTCTTAAAAGCAATAGAAAATAATACATAATAAACATAATACTGTATATACACAATTATAGAGCAGATATTTTTATTATAAAAAACAATATGTAAGTCCGACTTATAGTTCATATGATGGATTTAGTCGTTTTCTTAATACAGTAGTTTATTATACAAGTTTATTATACAAATATTTGTCCAGCGCTTTTAGATTCGAAGCGTCAGCTCTTTAGTAATGCTAGTGACAGAAACACGTTGTAATGCCGCCCTCTAGTGTCCGTAATGCGCACTACATGAGTCCGTGAGAGCAGGGCTTTCTCAAAACTAATCGGGTATCAGGATCTCCGAATACATTTAAGTTAGAGTTAAGAGTACACCAAGACTATCGCTGCGGTGGTCTTGTCTGAGACCATAAGCTGAGAACCAGACCAACAACAAAACCAAAGCCGTGTTTATGTAGTCTCAAAGACCACAAGATCTGTACAACATTTAGCTCAAAGTGGTTCTCTCTCTCTCTCTCTCTCTCTCTATCTCTCTCTCTCACACACACACACACACACACACACACACAAAATGCATTAAATATTGAATGAAAATAACTTTAGAAAAATTTAAAACAACACTGACATAAGCAAGTTGTTACTGCAGCAATCAAACACCATAAATTCTATGAGAAAAAAAAAGTTAGGCTACAAACAACATCAAAATTGTCATTGGTAGTGCTGCAATTCTTGTTCCTGACCAAACTTTGTGACCTGATCGACAATTATGTCGACAAACATGTGACTGCTGCTGTGTGTTGACACTTGAGAAGCACAAAGAAAGAGAGTTTCTTTCTGAATTCCTTCTGACTCCTCGTTGGCTGTCAGGCCTGTAATCTGCTCTCGATAGCAGAAGCATTAACACTCGGGTCAAGAGCAGGAATCAGAGGTTGAGAGAAGAAGTGGAATGACTAAGTGGCTGGAGAGTGTGATGATAAACGGCCTTTTCCTCTGAAGGTGATCTGGAACCACTCAGAGATTGTACTGCTATGGGAAAGCTGGTCCTGCTCAGCACAGATAGAGAACTATCATGTGGTACTTTCGAGTTTTGGACCACGGTATGATGTGATTCAACATTTAGGATGAAACAGAATGACTGTTTTTAGGGCATAAGCAAACTCTGGTTAAGAAGGTCGTAGCCCTTAAGAAACACACAGCACAATAGAGGCAGTTTGGGCAGATGGAAGAGAGCACACCTTTACAAACCCACAGAAAAAAACAACAACAACAAAAACATCTGAACAAACTGTTATAGTTACAATTACTGGGAAAAGAACCATTAAGCCTTCTGAACTGATTCAAGAATTATTCTTAATGAAGAGTTAGATAAATGTTTTATCTAGCATAGTTACAACTACAACTAGTTAGAGCTAGATAAGTAAAGTTTGATGACAAACTTTGATGTTGGCTTGATAAAGCTAGGTCTGAAAGTTTAAAATAACTTTGAAAAGCTTTAAGTTTGAAGCTGTTACTTGGAGAAGTCAGGGAAGTTAATAAAATGTTACTAACATGTTTTATATATTGCTAGTAGCATGTTTCTAGTATGTTTAGCAAATTGCTAGCATGTTTTAGCATGCTGCTATAATGATTTAACACATTGCTAGCACGTTTCTAGCATGATTTAGTCTGCCCAGGCAGAAAAGATATAACAGCCCAAATCAGAAGAGTCTGAAGTTCTGAGCTGAATATGGTGGTTAAAGCTTAAATTGCATTTAGAAATTTGGTCTCAGAGAAGCAGCAGCTTAAAGAGAAATATGTTGGCTTTGAAAACTATAAATATAAGAACAGTTTGTTATTTGATCTATATAGCAACTAAAAAAAATAGTTAGAATTATGAAAACAGTTAAATAGTCAATATAACAACTAGTTAGAGCTAAAACTATTAGGACTGCTTGTTAATCAGTAATGTGTAAAGAATTTAGAAGTTTAAGAAGTTATACAGAACTATGAGATCATTTGATAATTTAACAATTATCACATGGTGACAACAATGCCCTCAGTATTAATTTAAAAAAAACTGAGGAGATAGTACTAGAGCCTGTTGCTGACATTCATACAACACCTGTTGTTATACATGAAGAGAACATCAAACAAGTAGAAGCATATAGGTACCTAGGAGTATGGATAGACAAAACACTATCATGGAGAGATCATATAGATAGTATCTGTAAAAAAATCAATGCA